AGCCACCCCGCTCTGTTTTCTGTTGTCAAAACGTTTGCGATGTGGTTAATTTGGCCGACGCGCTGATCGTTATTAACTTCGTGTTTCCAAGCTGATAAAACATTTCTAAAGCGCGAATGGAAACAAGGAACCCGGAGAGAACGCGCCCGCCGTTCCGTCGATGGAAGCGGGCGGGTCAAAGGAGCCCGAGATGGAGAATTCTCGGCGAAAAATTGTATCGAACCGCGATTTTGAATGGCTACATCGCCGCGTTTGATTTCAATTCCGTTGAATCCGCTCAAAGGAAAGAACGAGAGCTGATAAAGGCGAATACCGGAACACCCTTTTTCTTTCATCCGTCGGCTCAGCCGCAAGTCAGAGGTTACTTTGTAAGAAAAAGTCCACTCTAAGTTTTGCCACAAGTAGATCAACCCTTTAGATGCCCAAGCCGGGTCGAAGTGGCCCGAGGCTCGCTAAAAACACGTGCTCCTCCGATTGTATGGGGCCGACACTTGCGAGCCGTAGATATATGGGTCTCATTCAGACATTGAATTGAAAAAAAAGAGAAAATAATCGAATGTCAACACAGCCGACGATAGAAGAGACATATTCGGGCCTCGTATTTTAACTTTCCTCCCAAATCTGAGCGCCACCTCATCGGCAGCATAGAGCGAGGCATGGCGAGTTCACGCCTCGCACCATCGCGCCTTCAATTTTTGCAGATGCAACACGGGCATCCATCAAGTACGAATAGTTGTATCTCTGCGCCGTTCTTTCCCTTGCCCAATTTCCATGTTGTGTTGGCTCCGTTCGTATCGATATTGTAGTGGTGATTCAAGGGCGATGCGAGCAATATAGCCGACGATAGAAGAGACGTAATCGAGCCTAGTTTTTCATCTTTAATGAGCACCACCTCATTGACAGCATAAGGCGGAGCATTGCGAACTCACGCTTCGCGCCATCGCGCCTTCAATTTCGCACATGCAACACGCGCATCCATCAAGCACGAATAGTTGTATCTCTGCGTTGTCATCGTATGGTGACTCACTCGTGTATGTATGATGAATTCTAATTTTTGCTTGTGCACCTTAAAGCTGAATCAATCAATAAGATAATTATCGGCTGTAGGAAAAAAATCTCGTTCTCTTTTGATTCGAACGTTTCTCATAAGTTTTTTGAGTGTTTGATTTTCTTCTCAATATCTCACTGATTTTAATGAATTTTTTTTTTTGTTTCAGTATGTCCAACGGGGAAATTCAAGCACGCCACAGGGGACAATCGCTGCCAGCCCTGTCCAGCCAACAGCAAAGCACCAGATTATGGCTTCGCCGAGTGCAAGTGTAATTCTGGTTATTATCGTGCCGCCAAAGACCCCAAAAGCATGGCCTGCACCCGTAAGTACAATTTATCAATACGCCTTAGCCGTTTCTTTATTCGCGTAATGGAATGGATGATGTCATCCCTTATGCTTCCTTCGCAACTATCCTCAGTAAGAAAGATTTCAGTCCAGAGACGCATAATACCCCAAGAGTGATTTGTATCGATCGTCGTCAGAAAACTTTATTTTGTGTTTTTAGCAGTGAAATCTGTCTGGTTCTCAAGAATGAGTTGCGATTCACTGGGACTTTACTTTATTTTTGTGCCATTGAATATGACGAAAAGTTGCAGTTTAATTCGACAGTTTCCAGCACCCTAAACATGCCGAATAGAATATCAAATAATTTTGTCTCGGAACTACGTCTTTTGAATTTTTAACTTAAAACCGGCATAACTTGAAACTTTGGTTTGAACTAGGTTAATTGTGGAGTCCTCCCCCCCCCCATTTTTTTTTAAACAATTACCACTGTCGTAGTTTGAATTACTCAGTTTTGAGTCTCTGTGGATTATGGTTTTCGTTCCTGTTTGTTTTCCGGTGACATTTTGATGATCTGTTCGACCCTTTTTGGTTATACCTACAGTGTTTTTTCAGTTTGGTTAGGATGCTTAGTATTCTGCCGGTAGATGTTAGAGTGCGCTGCGCTTTGCGCTATCAAGGGATGGGAATACCCTCAGCGTTGACGTGAAACTGTCAGGGATGAAGGGCGCAGGGGGTGGAGGCAGCAGCGCGCACGTCGCTGGGCGGGTCGGGGCGGGGGTTCGAGTTTTGCGTCTCGCGACTTGCTGGCTGCATTTCAAAAAAAAAGCTCGAGTTCTTTGAACTTTTTTCGCAAGTTTCAACTTTAATTTGTTAACGCGGTAGCGAGACGGGCGTTGCCGCCGGAACGCCGCGCGGGCTACCCCTCCGCGAGCGGGGGTTCGCCCGGTGGACGTGGCACCCCTGGCGAGACACTTGACCCCACTCCGCACCCCTCCGAACTTTCGGCCAAGTCGTGAAAAGAATGTAGGACACCTTTTTTTCCGCCTCCCCTCCGCTACCCCCCGCGCCCGCCCGCCCCGAACGTCGCGCCGCGTACAGACAGAATGGCGTCCGCGCAGATTCGAAACCTCGCCGTTTTTTAAGAAGCCCTTTAAGAACCCAACACACGCCATCATTATTGTGCCCCGCTCCTTCGCCTCGCTTTTGCGAATTTGATACCAATCAGTGGCGTGGCGTGCTTTGCGATGTATCGATTGATCGGCCATTTAAACCTATGGAAAAGTATCGATAAACAGGGTGTTCGCAGCGAACACCTTGATAATCGGTTATTTACCACAGCTTTAAATGGGGAAATATCGATAGATCGCAAAGCACGCCACGCCACTGATACCAATCCGGCTAATGATTTCGTCGTGTCATGTCGCCGAGTTTGATTCCGCGCCGAAAATCCGTGTCTCCTTTCTTCTTGTCCGCCCTTTTCAAAGGCTCTCGTCGTTGCTCTTCCCGCCGGTCTTTTACCTAACCAAACAGGTTGATTTTCGGTCACCTAGAGGGGATAAAAATAATAAAGGCACAAAAATGAAAGTTTACTTCCTCATACCAACAACAGGTGTCAAACTTTTGCGGAGAGCAGATGCAAAAAGCTGTTAGACGTTTTAATCCCGAAAACGTCAAAAATTTCAAAGTGAAGAGGATCGATAATTTTTTTAAAATTCAAATGTAGAATCAGGTGTTTTTGGTTGGAGAAAATCTCTCCCAAGAAGAATCTCCAAAATAGAAAATCCCGTTTTTAGATGCCCAGAACGGCATTTCCGGAAAATCTTAGAAGGAGGGGAGGGGGCAAAAGTTGTTGAGAGGAGGTAAAACTCCCTCTGGATGAGGGGGGGGCAGACTTAAGCAAATCCCGAAATTTGCGCTAGTATCAATCAAAGTGCCTCAAAAAAGGTCAAATTCTAAATGAGGAGGACCTCCCCCAGTAACGCCCCTGCTTGCGCTCCTGGAATCGTAACGGCGTAGAACTGCTCTAATAACGTCGTTAGCCATTAGAAGCCGAAAAGTACGCACATTAAATATAATTTATTTAGATGTTTATTTGTGGCCGCGCGAGTACTCTCCTCCTGGGAAGCAATAAAGGTGCCGAAAAGCGCGGAAACTGGTGCGGCGCCAACAGTTTCCAATTCTGCCATGCCAAGGAAAAACGCCGTATGAGCCATCAGGCGTTGCCAAATTGTCTTCGATAAAACACGAATTCCTGGAAAACTTATGAATATTTTTATTCCAATTTTTCAGAAAATTTTGTTAGTACTTTGATCTAAAGTTCCTGAAATTTTCAAGGGAAAATATTCATAATTTTCCTCCAAAATAGACATTTTATCAAAGGACATTTGGCAACTCTCGAATGTTCATACGGCGTTCTTCCTTAGCACGGCAGAATTGTTGCAGGAGCATCGGGATCGGGCGACGGAACAACAAAGCCATAAAAAGCGCCCGATCCGGCACTTCGCAGCCGCGGCAAATTCGAATACCATCGTAGCTCTCACCTTTCCAAAACAATATTCTCGCCCCTATTTCCTATTCCGATAACTCTCCACCCCCGCGCGGCCCTGCCGCCCCCGCGGCTTGATAATTTCCCGCACCTCTTTCTCGCTTTCTCCTCGATATCCCGCCGGAGCTTTCCCTCGCTCTTCGGAGAATTTCATCCGAGAAATATATGCGATTGGTTTCATTATTTTTTCTCCCTGCGGAAACTCCTTCGGTCCTTCGATTTATTGCTTCGATCCGTGCCCGCGAGGTTGCCTCATCTCGGCTTCTTGCCTCTTTGTAGGTGTACTATGTCACTCTTTCCAGCGGGTTGATAATTGAAATTGATAGACAAAGCGATAGATTAAGATGACATAGGGAACATGGAGCGATCGTATTGGTTGAACCAAACTATAGGGTTTCTCGCGGGCTGCCGTTAGTTTGTCTGTTACTTACCTCTTATGTCTATTGCAACCACCCTCTTGCACCAATAGGATCGCTTTATTTTCAGTTTTTCTTCTTTGTCTAGTATAGCTTTGTCTATCAATTTCAACAATCAACCCGCAGGAAGAGTTTCACGGAGCACAGAGAGAGAGAGGAAGGTAGTACTTACCATTCTTCATGTCTAAGATAATACACATCTGTGTGCAAAGAGACAGAGAGTAAGCACTAGCATCATCTCAGTCTTACAAAAAACACGGTGGATGCGTTGAATATTTACCATGTCACCTCAAAAGTTAAGAATTTACGTGTGCATCGTATGTCGTTCAAAACGTCACACAAGGCAAAAAGCACAGCATTCTTATTGTAAATAAAATCAGTGCATGCGTTGCATTTTTTATCAGCACGTTAACACGGACTGGTCTGTGGATGAAGTGGGTGTTAATAGCTGAAATTATTCGACGGTTAGGCAACCTTGCTTGCATCCATTTTTCACCACCCGGAAAACTTGAAGAGGGCGACGAAAAGACGGAACGACCTCTCGTTTGGGCGATCGTTTTCATGATTTCGTTGTTAACCCTTAAGCCGGGTCAAATTTACCCGAGGCCTGCTGAAATATGTGCCCCGCGGATTGTATGAGGTCGTTTGATGCGGGCTTTAGTTATTGTTCTACGAATTCTTCATAAGAAAAGAATCGGACATCAATTTGAAAAATAAGACAAAAATCGAGTTTCAACACAGCCAAAGGTAGGACAGACGTAATCGGGCCTCTTTTTTTAAACTTTTCTCTCGAATATGAGCGACATCTCATTGACAGCAGAGCGGAGCATTGCGAGTTCACGCCTCACGCCATCGCGCCTTCAATTTTTCAGACGCAACAAGGACATCCATCAAGCACGAATAATTGCATCTCTATTATCAACGCGCGTTGAGATTTCGAGCTTGTGCATGCCTTTCTGTTTCAACACGGAATTCTGAACCTAGCTAGTCTTCAAGGCTTCCCTTCATAGTAAAAAATGTCTCTTTTATCGCTCTTAATCGGTGTTAAATTTTTTTGGCTCGATGAAATTTAGCTCTCATTGATGATAGTCTAAGATTCAAGCAAAACTGTCTGGTAAAATTCCAACTATACAGAGAGCTCTGAACTCTCCGAATTAAGGACGACCATTAAAAGATGCGGCACGTATACGTGCCTTTGAACACACCCACTGGCTAAAAATTGATCCATCGGTTGAGAAAGGACCCCCGCATGCACAGCAAAAGTGAGTCAAGACGTTCAGAGTCGGGAAATTCCGGCAACGTCCCCGAATCCGAATCCTCCGTCCTCCTCACTTTTCGTGCCCCACCCGAAGTGCTTCGCCGTTGAATTATTGCAACTCTTACGTCACCTCACCGACATTCCCTTGAACAAAGTTACGGCTTATTGCACGGCCATCACAGACTCAGGGAAAACTCAATTTTCTTGAGCTAGACTTCCCTTCGCCGAGGCGGGGAGGGAGCGGGGGGTGGACCNCGCTTGCCTGTAACGGCCCCGCCGTTTACGTCGCGTCATAATTGCGCGTGCAACTCCATCATCCCCCCCTCCGCCGCCCGAACAGAAGCTCCCATGAGGCGAATTATACATTTATGGAAGGATGCGGTGGGAGAGGGGGGATCGGGGGGGGGGCAGGCATGCCTCCTTGCACGCTCGCCGTGAACCCGCGGAGAGAGGCCAAGCACCGTCAAATAAGCTACGTAAGGGATGATTGCGTATTGTGTTGTTTCGCTGCGCTGAAAACAAGGGGTAGTTTTGAAAAGGCTCAATGGGAAAGAGAAAACTGCATAACTGCACTCTAACAGAGGCGGAATTGCCCGTCGTGGATGCCAATGCCGCTTGCTCCGTTCCCGATCCGATGTCGTGCGCTAGGAAACCCTCCTTCCGGCTCATTGTAGCTTAACGTCATTTCCGTGGGGGCTTTTCTCCCGCGCCCAGGAAAAACCCCGTATCAACATCCCTATCTTGCCAATTTTCCCCACCTGAAGCATTAATTTTTCAAGAGTACACTGGAAAAAAAAACACATTGGATCTAGAGTCCA